ATTCATATCCTCAAACAGGCAGGACTGACCTTGGCATCCCCTATACTCCTTGCTAAGTGGCCCCTGGCACTACTGGCAATTGGTCTAAGTTCACAGCATAGCCTCTCTCAGACACCTCCAAGAACAGCACAGGCAACTATCAACCATGGGTCACTATGCGGCTGCTACCACATGGTCCTGGGCCAGAAACAAGCAGCATCTGACCTGGTCCTCCACCAGAGCCTCTACCAAATGGTCCAAGAATCAACACACCTAGTGGCCTGCTTCAGACCACATCAGAGCACTGCCCAAAATTAGCTACACAAACAACACACTCAAAGTGTGGACTTAAGAGGCACTAGAGACCCCACTACAGTGAATCCAACTCTATGGTCTCAGCCTCTACACTACAGCTTATTCGCTCTAGTCACTCTCAGTCCTCACAGCCAGTCAGCCTGAGGGTCAATCCCACCCACTGATATGGCAATAGCAATCAAGGCTCAACTACAACAAGAGGGCACACACAACACACAAGGGACACTGAAGAGGAATTTTCCACTTAAATGGCTAACTTTGTAATCAGCTCTTTGTTCTGCTTCTGTAGACATGCTTGCTGCATAGGCTGAAGGGCAGGGTGACCTTGAGATAAACTGAAGACTCACTCTCCTCTTTGCTTGTTCTGTCTAGATAACAGATGTATTGCCTTTGTCTGTAGACATGCTTGCTGCATAGGCTAAAGGGCAGGGTGACCTTGAGATAAACTGAAGACTCGCCCTCCTCTTTGCTTGTTCTGTCTAGATAACAGATGTATCCCCTTTGTTTGTTCTGTCTCGGTAACAGATGTATCACCTTTGCTTGTTAAGACCTATAAAAGTAAGATTATCCCTGAGCTCAGGGACCAGATCTTCAGAGCACTACCTCTTTTGGCACTGCCAGTATAATAAATCTGAGTTCTCCAACTCTCCGAGTGGTGCTTGGTTTTTCGCCAGTCTGATTTTTTTCTGCAACAACACAACTGGAGCGCCTTGCTCAGGTGACCATGGAGACTGTGCCACTGGACCACAAAAAAAAAACAAAAAACAAAAAACAAAAAAAACATACCTACCACAAAAGGCCACTCTACCAAGAGTAGGAGATGTAGCAGATCTACCTAATAAATAGAAACAAACACAGGGAGACACGCAAAATGAGGAAACAAAGAAATATGTCCCAGTTAAAGATTGGAACAAAGATCCAGAAAAAAAGTAATCAAAATAGAGGCAAGAAATCTACCAGACACAGAATTCTAAACACTGGTTATAAGGATGTTCAATGATCTTAGTGACAACTTCAACAAAGAGACAGAAAACATAAAAAAGGACCAGTCAGAAATGAACACTATGACAACTGAAATAAAGAATACAGTAGAAGAATCAACAGTAGATTAGATGAAGTAGAGAATCAAATTAGAGATTTGGAAAATAAAGTAGCAGAAAACACTCAATAAGAACAGCAAAAAGAAAAAAAAATCCAAAAATATGAGAATAATTTAAGGGGCCTCTGGGACAACAACATTAGCATCATAGGGGTACCAGGAGGAGAAGAGAGAGAGCAAGGAACTAAAAGTCGATTTAAATAAATGATAGAAAACTTCTCTAACGTGATGCAGAAAATAGACATATAAACCCAGAAGCACAAACAGTCCCAAACAAGATGAACCCAAACAGGCCCACCCCAAGACATATCATAATTAAAATGTCAAAGTTCAAAGACAAAGAGAGAATCATAAAAGCTGTGAGAGAAAGGCAGTTATCTATAAGGGAGCGCCCCCAAAACCATCAGCTGATTCCTCTACAGAAACTTGGCAGGCCAGAGGGATTGGCAAGAAATAGTCAAAGTGATGAAAAGCCAGGACCTAGAACCAAGATTCCTCTACCCAGCAAGACTAACATTTAAAATCGAATGACGGATAAAGAGCTTCCCAGAAAAAAAAAAAAAAAAAAAAAAAGCTAAAGGAGTTTATCTCTGCCAAACCAGTATTATAAGAAATGTTAGAGAGACTTCTTGAAGAAGAAATAAAATGAAAAATATGAATAATAAAACACCAATAACTACATATCTAGCAACAATTAGTTTACATCTAAATATATTAAATGTTCCAATCAAAAGACATAGGGTGGCTGAATGGATAAGAAAACAAAACCCTTACATATGCTGCCTAAAAGACTTGGTTCAGATTGACAGACATATATAGTCTGAAATTAAAGGGATGGAAAAATGTATTGCATGAAAATGGAAATTTAAAAAAAGCTGGAGTAGCAATACTTATAAATAGACTTTAAAACAAAGGCTATAACAAGAGACAAAGAAAGACCTGGTTGTCCCACTTCCAGGTACTTATCCGTAGAATACTGAAACACTACTTTGAAGATACATAAGAATCTGTACATTCATTGCAGCATTATTTACAATAGCCAAGATATGGAGGCATCCCGGGTGTCTATCAGTGGATGGATGGATAAAGAAGAGATGGGTACATATATACAATGGAGTATTACTTGGCCATAAAAAGAATAAAATCTTACTCTCTGCAACAACATGGATGGACTTAGAGGGTATGTGTTGAATGGAGTAAGTCAAACTGAGGAACAATGTCACATGATTTCACTTATATGTGGAATCTAGAGGACAGGATAAATGAACAAACAAAATGGAAACAAGCTCATAGATATAAAGAACATTTTGATGGTTGCTGGACTGGTGTGGTTGGGGTGATAGATGAAGGGGGGAGGGGATTAAGGGGTATAAATGGGTAGTTTCCAAATAGTTATAAGCATGGGGAATATAGTTAGGAGTAGTGTAATAACCATGTATGGTTTCAGTTGGGTACTGGATTTATTGAGGTGATCACTTTGCAAGTTATATAAATGACTAGTCACTGTGTTGTATACCTAAAATTGATATAATATTGTATGTCAACTATAATTGAACAAAAATAAAAATATAAAAATTAAAAAATATATATTTGGAAGAATTTTCACCCTAATGTTAAAGGTACTTACTTCTGAAGTGAAAATTGAGACATTATTTTTATATTTATACATCTCTGATTTTCTGAATTTAAAAATGTGAACATGTTATTTTTACAGTCACAAGAATAAAAAGGCATACAAATAACTCTTTAAAATTAAAAAAATACATATGTAGCAGTCCCCTCTACTGCCACATAAATACCATCATCAATGTTTCACATTTGCTTGCAACAGGCTTTCTCCTCTAGGAAGGGGCCCGCCCTCCTCCAGCCACCCTGCATCCCAGACTCCAGCCCCATGAAATTGGGCTGAGATGTCTTTCCTTTCTAAAGCCCCATCACATGCACGTTCAAGTTAACAGGCATTTTCTTATTGTTCTCAGGGTACCATTATGTTTTCCCAACTCAAGTACAAATTCCTCCAGGAAACGATCAATTTTTTATGTGGTGTTTATAAATTGGAGGGTGATATGCATATAATTTTGGAGATTATGTATCTTAATGGGAAAAATATGAATCTAGAACATAAAATATATATTGCTATTATGTTTTCTTTTCTACTTGAGTGTATACAATTGATAGGAAAAAATCATCAGATCCTAATATTTTCAAGGGCTTGTTCAAGTTAGTTCAAGAAAAGGTAACTCCTCAGCTCATCACTAAAAGAGAAAAAAATGATAATACTAATCAACACGATTAGCAACACTGCTTCCCCATATTTGTATGCTGCTTCACTCATTACTGCAGAGAATGACAAAGGTCAGAGAATCCGCACATTCCCTGGTATGCTACCCCTGAGGATCTTGGAGACATAGGGGCTGGAGTCTCTCAGAAAGTGAAGGTCCTGCCTGAACACACACAGCAGGAAGTAAGCTGAGACTCAAGGTATTTACTTCACATTCAAAGCTCCCTGCCCTCCTGCTCAGAACTGCACAAGGATCTGAATTATTCTGACGCCCCATGGAGGTGCTGCTCTTGCAAACGGTAATACTTTTTACATGAATCTCAGAAAGGAGACTGACTGCTAATGAGGCCCCTATTCAAAATTCTTCCTTAACAGAAGCCAAAAGAAAAAAAAAAAAAAGAAAATGAAATGAAAAAGAAAATAAAACATGGGAGTTCCTTGAGGGGCAGGGTTTTATTCATTTCTTTAATTCCAGCGAGTAGCACAGTGCCAAGCATGTTTTAGGGGTTCAGAAACATAAACTAACCAGATGAATGAGTGGATGTTTGCAAGCACCTATCACTTTAAGGCCTCTCTCTCTGTCCGTCTCTCTGTCTCTCTGAGTCTCTCTCTCTCTGTCTCTGTCTCTCTCTCTTTATTTCTCTCTCTCCCTCAATCTCTCTAAATACCTAACCAGAGAGAACCAGTGGAATTTCCAGTACAAATTCCGAGTAAACATATTAAGGCATAAAGGACCCAGCCATGTGAAGGAAATAGCTAGAAGAAAAATACTTTTTATATGTGGGAAATACGGTTATATGAAACTTAAAATTTGGTTCCATTCCAAGCAAAATTCATAACAAAGGAAAATTTAAGCAGCTGGACATGACTTAAAACTCCTAACATGTTGGTTGTTTCTTCCTTTGAGAACCAATAGTTTCAACATTTATTCTTTCTCTTCAAGAAAAAAAAAAATCACCATGTCATCTTCCAGATGACATAGCAGTTAGTTTCTTTATATCTCAAATTATTTCAGAACTCAGAGAGAATTTCTTTTTACTATTCCTGACAGCCAACCTTATCTTCAAGGACAGGGGCTTCTAGTGGCTCTAAGCCCCCCAAGTATCTGTGAGTTCACTTTCCCAGACATGCCGGGGGCTGACAGACCCTGATTCCCACTATGGTTTGCTCTTTTCTCTGCCCCAATTCCACCAGTACAGCTAAGCACGGATGACAGAGGGAGGGGGACCGGTGGCGAGGAGGTGGGGAGGAGGTTCCAGAAGAAAAATTCTATGGAAGAAGTCACTAATTAGTCCCCAGTGCAGACTGGAGGGCCCGGAATCTTACTGTGTGGGCAGAATCCTGCTTCTGCCACTTAGTAGCTGAGTGTCCTTGAGCAAGTCACTTAGCTTCTTGTACCTCAGTTTCCTCATCTGTAAGACGGGGATGAAATTTACTGAGTTGCCGTGAGCTCTGAGCGAGTTAGTAGATGAGGCACCCGCCTGAGAGAAGTGCTCGGAAACGTGTCTCTGTGCAGGTTGTGTCCTTTTGGAAGCTCCCACCACAAAAGCCATCCCTTGTTACACACCTATCTGTCTTGCTCGGTTGCAAGCCTTATGAGGATGACTCACACACCCAGAGCCATTCCATACATATTTGTGGAATAAATGGATGAATGGACGGACCAACTTTAGATGTTTTTCCTTCAAAAATTATTAAGGAATCAGAGAACTCAGTGATCACGTGGCAAATCAATCATGGGACATAACCATGAAAAAATTCAGTATTTAAAGTTTTTGTGATTAATGGTGCACTGCACCCAGCAAAAATAGCATGTAACCTAAAGAGTCTTTACGTCTGAGAAACTCAAACATTCTAAACGGGAAGTGTCCCCAGACCATGGAGAGGAAGTGAAAGGCAAGAGCAGAAGCCAAGGAGACATCGGGGTCTCGGGGAGGGAGAGGAAAGCATGTGTGGCTGTGTGTCCCAAAGGGGAGTGGAGATTTCTTAAAAGAAGCAGGTTCTCTAACGAGAGGAAGCGCTTCAGGCAATGATTACACAGGAAGCTGGAGTGGGAACCTGATTTTCTACCTTATTAAAAATTTTTAATCTTAGTCAAAATCCCATCATCGACACAATAATATCGAGTTGAGTGATATTTGACCCAACTACTTTTCAGTATAAAAAATATATGTAAATCGTAATGACACGTGGTCTGTATAACTCAGTGAGGACTACTTTATGGCTTACAGGGTAAAAGTAGAAAAATTTATAAGTTGCAGGGATTTTTGGTAAAAAAAGAAAGTTTTTTTTTTTTTTGAAAAGGCCCTTTGAGCGCTAAAGTGATCTGGGTGGTGGGTGCTGGCTGTCAAGTTTACTGCTATTCTTGAATGTTGTGGGTGTTCTATTTGCCTTTCAGTGAAAGAATGTGCTAATCCAGGGGTCGCCATCACGTACCGCCCCCCCCAGACAGGCGTGTTGTCAATGACACACTGCATCCAGCTTCCCTTGTGGCTACCAGTGGGGAGAAGAGGAGCAACGTATTCAGAAACCCTAACGTATTCAAAAGTAGTAGGGTCAAATATCACTCAACTCTATATTATCATGCTGATTTGCGAGGAAGAAAATACTTAAACCAAGCTTCATTTTTCATAATCATGACTTTCAGATTACAAATTTCCAAGCACATGCACAAGCGACCATTTGTGATGGGTTAAAAGAAATGGCTCCAGTCTAATCCAAGAGCTTCCAGAAACTACTGCCTAGCCTTTAAAATTTTGAACTCTCTATTTTCGCATGTTTCTCATTTGGCTTCAAGTTTTTTGTAACTGTTTTTATATCGAAGTTTGTCTAATTAGTAAAGAACATCAGGGGTTTCTCTCTAATCTTCAGCAAGAATTACTTTGGCTTTTGAAAAAAAAATACAAGCTTTAGAAGCCAATGTAATTTAAATACTATTAAAACATTCAAAAGGAGGTCTGCCTCATGGGAAATCTTTTGTTCTCCAACACAATAGCATTTCTGTCTAAAGTTTGCATAAACTGTTCTATGAGAAAGATACAATACTCTGGAAAAAGATCACCTGCTTCTAAAAATAGGTTCACCATTGGCTGGGGGTGGGGAGGGAGCATTTGGCCAATCTGTATGTATGTTCTCATGACCATTCCTTCTTCAACTTGAGAATTCCTCCATTTTCAACCCTTTTTAAGAAAAATGTAAGGACAGTTGTGAAATATCCTCTGGGTCAATACCCAGCAAAGAATTTGGCTCACAACCCATCAAATCTTCCAGGTGACACCTTTGATATCCCAGTTAAAAATTAAAAAGAAATCCAGAAAACTGAAAAATTGTTCTTTTCACACAGACGAGCAAGGGGTGGATGACCCTCCCACCATTAACTATGGAACAGGGTGCAGCTTGAAGAATTCTCTTAAACTTATTTCTGCAACTTATTTTTCTTTTAAAATGAGAGAAATAGAAATAACAAGGGGTCTGGGTAGATGAGTTACAAAATTTCATGATCCTGTAAAAATACCTAAGCTAGTATCATGTCATTTACTCTGTGGAAATTGTACATGATCAATCTGAGATGATTTCTATTTTACATCAAAAAAAAAAAAGAGGACATTATAAAATAAAGAAAAACATATTCTGCATTTGGCAGGGGAAAGGCCACTTCATGTGACTGTTATCAATTCATTGCCTCAGCTCCAAATTCATCCTTCGTGCCTGCCCTATGGTAATAAAGGGAATTCCTTTTGAAGAGGAATTTTCCACTCAAATGGCTAACTTTGTAAACAGCTCTTTGTTCTACTTCTGTAGACATGTTTGCCACATAGGCTGAAAGGCAGGGTGACCTTGAGATAAACTGAAGACTCACCCTCCCCTTTGCTTGTTCTGTCTAGATAACAGATGTATTGCCTTTGCTTGATAACAGATGTATTGTCTAAATTCCTGTCTGAGAATCTCATGAGCCAATTGGCCCATGTCAGCTGTAACTTCGCGGATTGGCCCTATAAAAGTAAGGTTACCCCTAAGCTCGGGGCCCATATCTTCAGAGCGCTAGCTCCTCTGGGACTGCTGGCATAATAAACCTGAGTTCTCCAACTCTCCGAGTGCTGCTTGATTTCTCACCAGTCTGATTTTTCTGCAACACTTCCACATTTCTCCTGCACTATGAGCAGAGCAGCATGCTGGGGGCACAGTGCAGGGGGAAGGGCCTCTCCTGCAGTTTCTAGCTGCTGTGTGGGGTGCCATGATGTGGAGGTAAGGACATGGGTGATGCTCAGCCCCAGCCTCACACGCAGGACACTCAGTGCCCTTGGCAACCTTCAGCCTCGACCTGGCCAGGTGATAACTTTCCCACCACCCTCTCCACATGGACACAATATTCCAGAATTCCTGACTATACCAGAGCCCCTACAGCAAAATCTATTAAAACAAAGTATTTTATTTTATAACTATGAGAATTACCAGAGACGGTTGATTTAGTCTCTGAAGATCTTTCCCCAACTTATGTTTTCTGTACCTGGAACCAATGTGTACTCCACTGTTGACATGTGTCAACATCTTCAGGATTTTCCAAGCTGACTCTCAAGCCTTTATCTGCATGTGCCAAGTGTCCAGGACCCTTTATTTCTTTAGGATTATTTCCAGTGCCCTACTTCACAGATCCTTCACTGGCCACCACCCACTGGCAGCTCTGTATATATCCTGGACCAACTTCAGAATATCTGTCATCTTCCCCGCCGCACAGAGCCAGCCTCCAAACCGCTTTGCTATCTCCTGCTCATCACTCTACTGCTGGGTTTAATTTCCATCCCCACTGTTCTCCTTAAACTTTTTTTTTCCCCCAAAACATTGTTAATGATTTCTGGTATATAGCTCCTTCAACAGCTGTGCTTGAAAGCCACAATCTGGGTAGTTAATAACCTGTGACTCATTTAAAAGTAATGACCTTGGAACCGAATTGATGTTTTAAGTAATTTTGATGGTCTCTTTCTAGTTCTGGTAAGGTGGGCGTGTAGTTGTTTCCCCCCCAAACTATATGTGACTCTTCAGAGGTTGAAGGTATAAAGAGGTCAGGGAGTTTTAGGCCCAAAAGCAGGGAAAATGGAAAATCTCTGACTTAAAGAGACCAGCAAAGAGTAACCCAGAAAAACAAAATAATTTTCAAGGTAAAGGTAGAGACAGTAGGGCAGAAAGGCCCGGCTGATGAGACAGCAGGAGGTGGAGAATTTTGCAAAACAAAGGGCTGCATGTGGCAAAGAAGAAAATCAGTTAGAACAACTTTACCCTCTTTCCTCATTCTAGATGTTTGACTCTTTCTTTCTGGAGCACCCCACTGCCTGTACTAAGTTCTACCTCAGCTCAGTAAAAGACAGAACAAGGATTGGTGCTTAGACAAGAACTTGGGTAGATATGAAACGTATAATCTCAGCAAGGTAAATGCCAGACAGAAGACAAATTCAGATGAATATGACTGGCAGTGATATATTTTAATAATTCATTTTCAGTTGGTCTCATTAAAAAAAAAAAAAAAGGATAAAAGGATTTGAGAGGCACAATTTTAGACCAAGCCAGGGGTTAGAGGGCAGCCTCACAAAATGTAAATTTTACCAAACTGTCTAAACTTAGGAGGTTTGGGTTTCCTCCTGAGGCTGCAGGTCAGACCCACCAGTACTCTCTGTAGCGTTTATGTGATATCAGGAAAGCAGCCCATGGAAATGTAGAATTCTGAGGTCAAGTTTTTGTCATATTGTAAAACACTATATTTTAAACCCTGTTGATTATCTTTCTAGAGTCCCCAGAAGTTATAAGATCTTAAAATGTCTCCAGAGTTCTATTTGATCCAAATACTTAAAAATGAAGGATCACCAGCAAAATACTGGGACACAGTGTTCTTTTTTTTTTTTTTTTTTTTTTTTTTTTTTTACCAACTGTCATTTCCAATTGACAAATGATCTTTTTCAAATCTCATTAGAGAGAAGCTCGTAGGTAACTTCCTAGACTCAGTAGCATGGTTATTTGGGTGTGCTGAAAATGACAAATGGGGGATTTGGTAAAAGCTGTCATTGCGTTGACTATGGTAAGTAAACTGTGGGATTAAGCTTTGTGGGAAGAAGAATTCCAGGTAGGCCTGGTGGTTCTCAGGGGCCATTTGGTTAAAAGCATGCTGAGAGTGTGGGGTGGAGGGAGGTACAGGCTTCTCCAGCTACTGCTAGCCCACTAATTCACTTGTATATGTATTCACAGATGGCACAAAATGTATTTTCTTCCTATTATTTATCTCTAGGCTCTCTGCAAGTATTAAAAATATTAGAGAGGGTCTTGAAGAAGAAATCAGTTCCTTTACAAACATTACACACACACACCTATCTACCTATCATCTATCTATCTATCTATCTATCTATCTATCTATCTATCTATCTACCTATCTGTCAATCATCTATCTTTCTATCTATCCATACATACATTTTATCAATGAGAAAACAAAACCCCAAAGGGGATAAATTGTTCAAAACCAAGTGAGTTAAAATCCAATAGGTAACAAATTTCATCTGTTT